TGATGTTTTTGAATTGTTACACAAAAAACCGAAAACAATTGCAGGAACTAATAGGGGTCGTTGCTTGCTAATATAACAAAAAAAAAAAAAAAAAAACAACAAAAGAATAAAGGCATGAAATGTTTTAATATTTTACTGTCGACGAATTTGTTTGACATTAATAAAGTCATCGTCGTCTTTTCATTGTTGTAGCACAAGCAACAAATGACAGGGATCAGTTACATATTACAAACAGCATTTCTTACATGATGATGATGATGAGTTACAAACAAACCGTTTTATTTATTTAGCGGATGTTTATTAATGGGCTTAGAAGTGAGTGTGTGTGTTTGTTATATAACAGAATAAAGCTTTTATGCCCTAAAGTTATAAGGGCCTCAGCACTGCTTTGATCTCTACTAGAACATATTTTTTATTTTCCCAATAATTGTGATAAATGTGGGAACATCTGTAATTTAGATGAGAAGAACAATTGAACATAAGTAGTACAGATGATGATGGATAGATAAGAGAACTTTTAACTAATTAACTAACTAACTAACTAACTAACTAACTAACTAACTAACTAACTAACTAACTAACTAACTAACTAACTACTAACTAACTAACTAACTAACTAACTAACTAACTAACTACTAACTAACTAACTACTAACTAACTAACTAACTAACTACTAACTAACTAACTAACTAACTAACTAACTAACTAACTAACTAACTAACTAACTAACTAACTAACTAACTAACTAACTAACTAACTAACTAACTAACTAACTAACTAACTAACTAACTAACTAACTAACTAACTAACTAACTAACTAACTAACTAACTAACTAACTACTAACTACTAACTAACTAACTAACTAACTAACTAACTAACTAACTAACTAACTAACTAACTAACTAACTACTAACTAACTAACTAACTAACTAACTAACTAACTAACTAACTAACTAACTAACTAACTAACTAACTAACTAACTAACTAACTAACTAACTAACTAACTAACTAACTAACTAACTAACTAACTAACTAACTAACTAACTACTAACTAACTACTAACTAACTAACTAACTAACTACTAACTAACTAACTAACTAACTACTAACTAACTAACTAACTAACTAACTAACTAACTAACTAACTAACTAACTAACTAACTAACTAACTAACTAACTAACTAACTAACTAACTAACTAACTAACTAACTAACTAACTAACTAACTAACTACTAACTAACTAACTAACTAACTAACTAACTAACTACTAACTAACTAACTAACTAACTAACTAACTAACTAACTAACTAACTAACTAACTAACTACTAACTAACTAACTAACTAACTAACTAACTAACTAACTAACTAACTAACTAACTAACTAACTAACTACTAACTAACTAACTAACTAACTAACTAACTAACTAACTAACTAACTAACTACTAACTAACTAACTAACTAACTAACTAACTAACTAACTAACTAACTAACTAACTAACTAACTAACTAACTAACTAACTAACTAACTAACTACTAACTACTAACTAACTAACTAACTAACTAACTAACTAACTAACTAACTAACTACTAACTAACTAACTAACTAACTAACTAACTAACTAACTAACTACTAACTAACTAACTAACTACTAACTAACTAACTAACTAACTAACTAACTAACTAACTACTAACTAACTAACTAACTAACTAACTAACTAACTAACTAACTAACTACTAACTAACTAACTAACTAACTAACTAACTAACTAACTAACTAACTAACTAACTAACTAACTACTAACTAACTAACTAACTAACTAACTAACTAACTAACTAACTAACTAACTAACTAACTAACTAACTACTAACTAACTAACTAACTAACTAACTACTAACTAACTAACTAACTAACTAACTAACTAACTAACTAACTAACTAACTAACTAACTACTAACTAACTAACTAACTAACTAACTAACTACTAACTAACTAACTAACTAACTAACTAACTAACTAACTAACTAACTAACTAACTAACTACTAACTACTAACTAACTAACTAACTAACTAACTAACTAACTAACTAACTAACTAACTAACTAACTAACTAACTAACTAACTAACTAACTAACTAACTAACTAACTAACTAACTAACTAACTAACTAACTAACTAACTAACTAACTAACTAACTAACTAACTAACTAACTAACTAACTAACTAACTAACTAACTAACTAACTAACTAACTAACTAACTAACTAACTAACTAACTAACTAACTAACTAACTAACTAACTAACTAACTAACTAACTAACTAACTAACTAACTAACTAACTAACTAACTAACTAACTAACTAACTAACTAACTAACTAACTAACTAACTAACTAACTAACTAACTAACTAACTAACTAACTAACTAACTAACTAACTAACTAACTAACTAACTAACTAACTAACTAACTAACTAACTAACTAACTAACTAACTAACTAACTAACTAACTAACTAACTAACTAACTAACTAACTAACTAACTAACTAACTAACTAACTAACTAACTAACTAACTAACTAACTAACTAACTAACTAACTAACTAACTAACTAACTAACTAACTAACTAACTAACTAACTAACTAACTAACTAACTAACTAACTAACTAACTAACTAACTAACTAACTAACTAACTAACTAACTAACTAACTAACTAACTAACTAACTAACTACTAACTAACTAACTAACTAACTAACTAACTACTAACTAACTAACTAACTAACTAACTAACTAACTAACTAACTAACTAACTAACTAACTAACTAACTAACTAACTAACTAACTAACTAACTAACTAACTAACTAACTAACTAACTAACTAACTAACTAACTAACTAACTAACTAACTAACTAACTAACTAACTAACTACTAACTAACTAACTAACTAACTAACTAACTAACTAACTAACTAACTACTAACTAACTAACTAACTAACTAACTACTAACTAACTAACTAACTAACTAACTAACTAACTAACTAACTACTAACTAACTAACTAACTAACTAACTAACTAACTAACTAACTACTAACTAACTAACTAACTAACTAACTAACTAACTAACTAACTAACTAACTAACTAACTAACTAACTAACTAACTAACTAACTAACTAACTAACTAACTAACTAACTAACTAACTAACTAACTAACTAACTACTAACTAACTACTAACTAACTAACTAACTAACTAACTAACTAACTAACTAACTAACTAACTAACTAACTAACTAACTAACTAACTAACTAACTAACTAACTAACTAACTAACTAACTAACTACTAACTAACTAACTAACTAACTAACTAACTAACTAACTAACTAACTAACTAACTAACTAACTAACTAACTAACTAACTAACTAACTAACTAACTAACTAACTAACTAACTAACTAACTAACTAACTAACTAACACTAACTAACTAACTAACTAACTAACTAACTAACTACTACTAACTAACTACTAACTAACTACTAACTAACTAACTAACTAACTAACTAACTAACTAACTACTAACTAACTAACTAACTAACTAACTAACTAACTAACTAACTAACTAACTAACTAACTAACTAACTAACTAACTAACTAACTAACTAACTAAACTAACTAACTAACTAACTAACTAACTAACTAACTAACTAACTAACTAACTAACTAACTAACTAACTAACTAACTAACTAACTAACTACTAACTAACTAACTAACTAACTAACTAACTAACTAACTAACTAACTAACTAACTAACTAACTAACTAACTAACTAACTAACTAACTAACTAACTACTAACTACTACTACTAACTAACTAACTAACTAACTAACTAACTAACCAACTAACTAACTAACTAACTAACTACTAACTAACTAACTAACTAACTAACTACTAACTACTAACTAACTAACTAACTACTAACTAACTAACTAAACTAACTACTAACTAACTAACTAACTAACTAACTAACTAACTACTAACTAACTAACTAACTACTAACTAACTAACTAACTAACTAACTAACTAACTAACTACTAACTAACTAACTAACTAACTACCTAACTAACTAACTAACTAACTAACTAACTAACTAACTAACTAACTAACTAACTAACTAACTAACTAACTAACTAACTAACTAACTAACTAACTAACTAACTACTAACTAACTAACTAACTAACTAACTAACTACTAACTAACTAACTAACTAACTACTAACTACTAACTAACTAACTAACTAACTTAACTAACTAACTACAACTAACTAACTAACTAACTAACTAACTAACTAACAACTAACTAACTAACTAACTAACTAACTAACTAACTAAACTAACTACAACTAACTACTAACTAACTAACTAACTAACTCACTACTAACTAACTAACTAACTAACTAACTAACTAACTAATCTAACTAACTAACTAACTAACTAACTACTAACGAACTAACTAACTAACTAACTAACTAACTAACTAACTAACTAACTAACTAACTAACTAACTAACTAACTAACTAACTAACTAACTAACTAACGAACTAACTAACTAAATTACCCAGCTCTGTATTGTTGTGCCGAGTTCCTTTGTAGCAACCAACATGTTGTGACTCTCCCTTTTATTCTGTTTTCTCGCTCTCAAACAGTTAACGCTAAGAGTATGGTCAATTTAGCGTTTTTTGTTCATTCCAAAGCACATTACTCGTAATATTTACATTCAGTTTCAAATTCAAATAAATATAAATAAAATTAAAAAAAAATTTTAATTATTGTTAAATAATTTAAATACTTTTATATTAATTTAACAATTCATTTATAATTTTAAAATACATTATTAGCTACTGCTGGCCACCTTTTTTCTCAGTTAAGCAGAGCATCAATGTTGTTGTTGTTTTTATGCTATTTGTTTTCTGTTAGCGCTCAACTCTCAACTCATTTCAGTTTTTAGTTGAACGTTGAGTGGAAATGTTGTATAAAACGGTCTAGCGGATAAATTCAAACGTTTAACATACGTTTTTTATTGTTGTTGTTTTCCTTGTATATTAAAAATATATATCTCTTGTATATACACAACAGAATCCATGGAAAATTGTAAAGGAAAATTATTATTTACAAAGTTGAATATACAAAAAAAAAAGGAAAACAAAGTGTATTATAAATTTAAACAAAATGAAAACAATAAAAAGTGTATTTTAATGAAAAAGTAATAATTTTATCAAATCCTGAGGAGTTAAGAAATTTAATTAAAAAAAGTGTGTGACTAATCAAGTGCAAAAATGTTACAAAAATTAAACAAACCAAAAATTAATCGGCATCGTTTGTAAAAGACCAAAAGGCAAAAACCGACAAATAAGTAAAAAAATACATATGACAAAAAATAAAAACAACCCTCTTTGCAATATAAAACAAACAACAACAACAATAATAACTTAAAAGAAATAACGCTAGCAAAGTAACTGGATTTTTCTAATGCTTTCAACTGGAATAATTTATAGCAAAACAACAAAAATACAATTCTTTAACAATTTTGTTAAAAAATTATAAAAAATTTTTTTGTATAATTAGTTAAAAATTTATGTTAATTTTACAACTTTAACTTCAAAACAACAACCAACCTACAGCTAAAGTTCTCTGTGTATTTATTTTCTTATACTCACTTCACTGTCTGTCTTTATTTCGAAAAGAAGAAGCAGCAGTAAACAACAACAAAAACGAGTATTAAGAAAAACAAAAAAAAGTTGTAAAAAAGTTTTTGTTATTCTTCTTCTGTCTTTTTACTGTGAGTGATGTTTGTTGTTGTTTTTGACCTAAAAAAGTAATAACAACAAAACGACGTAAAAGAACAAGCAGCACAAGAAAAAAAAACAACAAAATAAAAACAAAAAATAAATGGTGTTGTTGTGCCCTTTGCCTATACTGAGTAAAAAGTTTGAAAAAAAAAACAAATGTTGTTTTTGTTTGTGTTAAAAAAATGAGTGAGTGAGTAAAAAAAAAACAAAATTAAAAAAAAGCAAAAAATAGTAAATATACAACACAAGTATGGTAAACAAAAATACTGAATTCCCTTTGCTGTTGTTGTTATTGTCTTTAAAAACAACTTTGCTTTAAAAAATATACAAAATTTTTAGAAGAAAAAATACAAGAAAAAACTTAGAAACAGCTTAGCATTAGCTTTTTTTGGCGGCTATGGCAGGAAATCTAGTAAAATGGTGGAAACATAAAATACTCGGTGGTTATAAACAATTCTCGGGTAAGTTTTTTTCTCAGCAGTTTTTTTTATAAATTTATCTTAGACATTTTATAGCAATGACCTTAAAAATTTAAATATTTATAATGAATTGAAATCAAAACTTTTTATGTAATTAATTTGTTTGTTGTTGTAGCTTAAGAGGGACAACTAGGATTTTGGTAAAACTTTTCACGATTAGAATTTAATTGCAGCTGGGAATGAGTCTTTCCACAATTTAACTACCTATAACTAAACTAAAACATAACTAGATAATAACTAGAAAAGAACTAGAAAATAACTAGAACTAAACTTGAAATGAATTAGAAAAAAAAAACTAGAACAGAACTACGTACAACAAAACTAGAACATAATTAGAACAGCATTGGAATAGAACTAAAACAGAACTAGAACATAACTAGAACAGAACTAGAACAAAACTAGAACAAAACTAGAACAGAACTAGAACAGAACTAGAACAGAACTAGAACAGAACTAGAACAGAACTAGAACAGAACTAGAACAGAACTAGAACAGAACTTGAACAGGACTAGAACAGAAGTTGAATAGAACTAGAACAGAACTAGAATAGAACTAGAATATAACTAGAATAGAACTAGAATAGAAATAGAATAGAATTAGAATAGAACTAGAATAGAACTAGAACAGGACTAGAACAGAAGTGGAATAGAACTAGAACAGAACTAGAACAGAACTAGAATAGGACTAGAATAGAACTAGAATATAACTAGAATAGAACTAGAATATAACTAGAATAGAACTAGAATAGAACTAGAATATGACTAGAATAGAACTAGAATAGAACTAGAATAGAACTAGAATAGGACTAGAATAGAACTAGAACTGAACTAGAACTGAACTAGAACAGAACTATAACACAACTAGAACAGAACTAGAACAGAACTAGAACAGAAGTAGAACAGAACTAGAACTGAACTAGAACTGAACTAGAACTGAACTAGAACTGAACTAGAATAGAACTAGAATAGAACTAGAATAGAACTAGAATAGAACTAGAATAGAACTAGAATAGAACTAGAATAGAACTAGAATAGAACTAGAATAGAACTAGAATAGAACTAGAATAGAACTAGAATAGAACTAGAATAGAACTAGAATAGAACTAGAATAGAACTAGAATAGAACTAGAATAGAACTAGAATAGAACTAGAATAGAACTAGAATAGAACTAGAATAGAACTAGAATAGAACTAGAATAGAACTAGAATAGAACTAGAATAGAACTAGAATAGAACTAGAATAGAACTAGAATAGAACTAGAATAGAACTAGAATAGAACTAGAATAGGACTAGAATAGAACTAGAACAGAACTAGAACAGGACTAGAACATTTTTTCAATAGGTACATAGGTAGATATTTCGTTAATTTGTCATTTTTAAAATTTTTTTTTCTTATTATTTGCCTAAATAAAATTAAAAAATCTGTTTAAACAATCTGTTGTTTATTTAGCCAAAACTATAAATTTAAATATTGAAATAAATTTAAGAAAAATTCTTAGCAAAAACAATAAATAAAACTTTTTAAAATAATTTATAAACACTTTGAATACACCCACCACTACAAAGTCATTAAAATATATTTTTTTTTTATTTTCATCCCATTAATGACAATTTTTCCATTCAACCACTTGTAATTATTAGATATTTTAACTCTGATAATAGTTAGAGCACTTAAAAAAGGCCATAATAACAAAACGAAAAAGTAGTTTGTACTACGTTAAACGAGTTACAAGTGTTGTTGAAAACTGTTGTAGTTGTTGGCTGGCTGAAGAGAATAAAATACAAAAAAAACATGTTTTTTTTTATTTTTGAAGATATTCGGCATGGCATTCAAAAGCAGCACAATAATTGATCGTTTGCTTTTGAAAAGCCGACCAACCAACCGACCCGCCAACAATACTACAAATAACAACAACAACTAAACATTAAAGAAAAGAAAAATAAAAAAAAAAAATAAAAACCTGAACAACAACTACATAAATACATACTTACAAACACACTTACTATACAGCTTTACTCCGTTTGAAAAAATAAAAACAAAAACAAAACAAGTAAGCAAGAGAAAAAAACTCGATGTAAACAAATGAAGGCTGACAGGAGAGTAAGGCAAGCAACAACTAGCAAAACTATACTCTACAACACTACATCATACACTTACATACAAACATGTAAATAAATGTTTTCATACTCTGAGCTCTGTAATACACAGAGTTGGAAAATGAAGTAGTATTAAAAATTATTGAAAAGAATTGAATTAGAACTGAACTAGAACTGAACTAGAACTGAACTAACACTGAACTAGAACTGAACTTGAACTGAACTAGAACTGAACTAGAACTGAACTAGAACTGAACTAGAACTGAACTAGAACTGAACTAGAACTGAACTAGAACTGAACTAGAACTGAACTAGAACTGAACTAGAACTGGACTAGAACTGAACTAGAACTGAACTAGAACTGAACTAGAACTGAACTAGAACTGAACTAGAACTGAACTAGAACTGAACTAGAACTGAACTAGAACTGAACTAGAACTGAACTAGAACTGAACTAGAACTGAACTAGAACTGAACTAGAACTGAACTAGAACTGAACTAGAACTGAACTAGAACTGAACTAGAACTGAACTAGGACTGAATTTTATACAGTAAAAAATGTGCTTCAATTTTGTTTATGGTTTTAAAGATTCCAACCCTGATTGCTTCAGTTATTGTATAGTATTATTACGTTTTGTTGTTGTTTTATTCTTGTGCCCGGTATTTAAAATGAAAATACAATACTCCTCTATATTATAGTGATACAAGAAAGTATTATTACGAACAATGAGCTTAAAATTTGAAAAAACTTTAAAGAACCTATAGCAAAATCAAAACCAAAATTATAAAGAATGAAAAAAAAACAGAACAATTTCTTGATTTGTTATTTTCAATCTACCACAAACCCAACCATGTTCCATCTTTCTTTTGTTCAGCTTTCAAACATTGATCATTTCATTATAAATCTCCTCTACCTTTCAATCATCTCATACCCTTAAACACTAATTGCTGGTAGAAGAAGCGGCTTGTCTGCAATTGCAGCATTGACCAGCTCTCGAAACTCAAGCACAAAAAAAAGTCGGCCATTAAAAATATTTACAAACAAATATCACTGAAGTTAACTGGCGAAAAAGAAAAAAAATTATATATATAAAGAATAAACGTAATATTTGCCGAAACTCACCTTACCAGTTGAGTTTCGTTGGTTTTGTGTTGTTGTTGTTCTGCTTGTCTGTCTATCTTCTTTCCGAAAAGTCTTAAGAAGCAGGTAAAATAAACTTAAAAATACAGGAAAACTAAAGTTTTTAGAACTATTGAAATGTTTTTTTTTTCGTTGATTTTGTTTGGAAAGTATTGTTTATAGTTAAAGTTCATTTGGAGCTTTTTGCTGGAAAATAGGAACGATTTTTCCAAGTTTTTGCGAAATAGGATATTAATTTCGTTTGGAGAGCCAATGCGAGAGTAGGTCTGCTATTCAGCTTCGTGGAATCCACTTGGTCTAGTACAGATAGAGGAAATTAATCACATATAAATGCCAGTGGGAAGTGATCTGCATCCAACATTTCTTTAGGTCGTCCGTAAAGATAAGGAGCGCACAACAGGTCCGATAGTGGCCTAGGTGTATTTCTTCGGATTTGATGTAATATATATCCTCCTATCAACATACCTACCTACCTAGGTCGTCCCTCTTGTAAAGTTGCACAGACACTGCTTTTACAAGTTAGGAAGGAAAATCTTCTTGGACCAAAACGTCTGCCCCTAACAGATGGATATGGAGAAAGTATCTTATGAAAGATTGCAGTGATTCCTGGAATATTCCTTTTGTGTAAAGAACTTTGAAAGATTCTACCCTTATCAGGAAGGCGTATTGAGCTCATTAACCCAAGATCATCATAGAAAATAGCTTATTCCAAGTGAAAATTTGTCTAGAACACTTACATTGCGAAGTCAAGTGCTAACATGAACATCTTCCTCGACGACATCACATTGTTCTGAAACAAATAAGCTTCATATACCGGACTTATACGAGGCATAGTCTTCAAGTAAATCTCGGAAATCATGCCACCATTCTCATCTGTATAGAATCTTTGGACGTTCTATTCAGACAGATGTCAGTGCTAGAAGGAATGTTCTCTTTTTTGGGAAGACAACTTTCCTAACCTCTAGCTCTTGAAGATAAATGGTTTATCTGGAGCACGTATTAAAACGTAAAATCTCAGGTTTTGCACCACAGTTGATTTAGTCATTGTTCCATCTGTAAGTATTCAGAAATATCTCTTTGAACAGAACTTTGAAATCGCTTGTGATGATCAATATCTTGCTGAGAAAGATGTTAAGACGTAAGAATGATACATCTTCGATTTATCTATGTTATCCTCTATTGGTTCCCATGTTTAAAGAATAAGAACTTTTCAAAATTCTTTATGTTACCTGAGAATGATCATTGAGCGAGTGGAGATCGTTTGTTCTTGATATTCATCAACCAGAGAGAGAGAGAGAGATGCTTCATATTGGGACTAAGATGCAATACAGTTTCCAGAGCCTTTAAACCAGCTATTGCAACATTTTTATTGATTGGAAATTAAAAAGAACGTTTTTCCAGATTTAAAAAAGTTGACAACACTCTCTTCATTCTGCGCAGTCAGATTTCAACTAAGAATATATGCCGCATTATATATCTGTTTATATAATACAAAACCAGTACATTTTATGTAACTGCAAACAACAACTACAACAACAATGCTATTACTACAAAAAGCAGGAGCGGCAGGAAAAACAAAGAATATCCAGGAAAAAAATATAAACGGAAAGATTGACACTAACTACCAAACAATGCATGATGCTGTAAGTAAAATAATACTATTCGTAAAATGCAAGCTAAAGTTCGTTGGTTTGGTTGGCAGAGGATGTGGATACCAAACAGTAATCCCTTGTAAAGCTTAGAA